TGTGGTTAGTGACTCCACTACTGTGGTTACAGTCATCATGCAGAGTGTTATTTTGATATGCTTAATTCAATCTGCTGATGTTAGTTACTGTGATCTGTAGCTCTGTTACTGTGATTTGTAACAGAGTGTAAGTGTTCCACTGATGTTACTACCGTACACACAATGTGGTTACTATTCACATGTATGTAACACATCTCAATTAGAAGAGGTCAGATGTAGTCACTGTGCAGAGTTATATGTAGCATACAATGTGATAACGGTGCACAAATTTAAGTATCACACCTCAAAAAAATTTGGTTACTGTGCACAGATATAAGTATCACACCTCAATAAGTGTGCTTACAGTGCACACATATAAGTGTCACACTACAACGACATGTGGTGACTGTGATAAGCTATATATACCACACCTCAATAAGATGCTACTATGCACAGAAATATGATCACAACTAAGTAAGATATGCTTACTGATGTGGTTACTTATATGTAGCACTGTGTCACTGTGCACTTCTAGCCAAAACACACCTGACTACTGACATTTTGAACAGTTGTTTCCAGCTAGGCTTTGCTGATGCAAATTCCCCATCTCTGGACTGGAAGTACACAGGTTCCATCAACCAGCTACTGAGCTGAGTACTTCGTGTGACATGAGCTGTGGATTTCATGTGGAATGTGTTTTCCCCTAGTCTCTGACTGCACTAAAATGGCAGATGACCATTTACTTTCAGAATGGCATATACTTTTGTGAGTGCAATGTCAGCCTTCATGACTGACTGCCTGTGCCAACAATGAGCGGCAATTCTGGTGTGGGTCTGTTAGTGTTGGCAAATCTGACAGCTGCATTTTTACCCTGCGCATGAAAACATCAAGAATCTGCTGGGACTTACAGGATTTTAACCAGTTATCAAATGGGAAAGTGAAGGATTTTTGTGTGAGTTATTTCCACTAGCACAGGAAAGGAGCACTTATGGGGTGACCAGTCTGCACTAATGCTGGAAACTTCATTATCGATTGTGCACAGACATGGTAGCAGCCATCCATGGTTACTGTGCTGATGTATGTAGCACATGATGTAGTTACTGTGCACAGGTATATATAGCACACAGTGGAGTTACCGGGCAGATATGTGTGGCATTCACTGTGATTACTGGGCACACAAATATGTAGCATGTCTTAACCTGATGGGGGCTACTGTGACAGTGCATGGTTTACTAGAACCTAGTCTGGAGACGATTCACCCTTTCACCCCATTGCTTAGATTTTACTGCATGAAAGCTTTCTGGGAGACTTACAAAACTCCTGCTTAATCAAGATGCTCTTCATAAATTCACCCCTCCCCCATCTCCATAAATTCACCCCTCCCCCAATCTCCATAAATTCACCCCTCCCCCAATCTCTATAAATTCACCCCTCCCCCAATCTCCATAGATTCACCCCTCCCCCAATCTCCATAAATTCACCCCTCCTCCAATCTTCATAAATTCTCCCTTCCCCCAATCTTCAGCTGTGAAAAATATACAAATGAAATGAGGAAAGCATAAATACATGAATGTTTACATGCATACATGAAACTGCAGTACATGTCTTGCTTCAAAAATCTTAGCGTAAATTCTCTCAGATAAACAAGAAAAATGTCTGGTTCTTTTCTTCATAAAAAGAATCCATAAGCACATGAACATGTGTTATGTTAGGCCTGAAGTCACCTCTGATAAAAAGAATTTCTGTTCTTTCACGGAGATAAATCATTTGTGGAGAATTATGCTACTTTGAAAAAATAACATCGGGAAAAAAAAGAGAACAAAATTAAAAGCAATCACTTTTCTCACTGAGGTCATGTGGTTTATTCTTATTGGTATGGTAAGTTCACACAAGTTCTACAAATGATCATAACATCTGACATCACATATGACAGCTAATTATGACATCATATATGATACAATTATTGTTACAATTGACATTAGGATTGAAAAATTATTATGTGTGAAATACTTTTTAAAAACTGATTATGACATCCGACATCACATATGACAATTTATCATGATATATTTCATCACATATAACAGCTGTTTGTGAAATGTGTCATAATTTGTGACAACTGATCAGGACAACTAACACACATGACAAACTTATGAGATTTTACACTATACATATATGTAGCTGATTATGATTTTTATCATTTATGAAAGCTGATCTTGACATTTGACTTCTCATGTGATAAACTTGATAATTATAAATGACATCAGATATGATAAACCATTAAAGATACGACATAATATTTGACAATAAGCCACCCAAGAAATTACACAGGTATAAGAGAACACCCGATGGTAGACAAAAAAAAAAAAGTTAAATGCAGACAGTAAAATTCAGCAAGCAATAAATCTGTATGTACAAAATAGAAAGAAAAAGAAACACAAAATCATCGGAAAAAAATTCTCACAATTGTATTTAGCACAACCAAAAAAGCACTATTAAAAAAATACAGTGCACACAAGCAATAAAACAGGATCTCAAATGTTAAAATTCGGAAGAAAAAACGTACACTTTATCTCAAATGTTAAAACTTCCAATTAAAAAAAAAACAACAGTATGTTGTATCTCAAATGTTAAAACTTTCAATGAAACAAATTTCACTGTAAATGAGTAGACACCAATATAAATTTCCCTAAGTAATTATAGTGTTGTTCAGTGCAACCTAATGTAGCACATCTTGAAAACTTGACATGTTTGCCTCCCATTGTCATCACCATCTTGGCATGATACATCTCACGAAAGACTCACGGTCTAGCATGTTTGGCCTCTTTTATGATGCTTGCATTATTGTTTCTCTCAGAAGTCCATCATTTCCTCTATTTGTTTTCCATTTCAGTGCCTGTTTGGCAATTCTCTGACCACTTCTTCTCACCAAGTGCCAAACATATGGCTGCTGGTACCAGTGGTCGTCTAGGCATCTTCTCTGTCTCATAACTCGCTCATAAAGGCAACTAACTGCCAACAGGAGGCAATCTACATCCCTGGTCATGTCAGAAGAAGGAGAAAACTGGAGTACATGGCGACAGTGGAAGAGTTGAAGGGGAAAAGAGGCAGAGAGAGAGATCCAGATAGAAGCTGGACACTTTGACATCATGGCATGGAATATTATCTCTGTAGAACTGACTGAAGTGATTGAAAGTATATGAGACAGAAGGTTGTGGATAGACATGACTACCAACATGGCACGCAGGACTGCCAATGGGATTTTTTTGAAAAACCCAGCTTCGCTAAACAAAAACCCAAGCAATACATAGACAAAGAACAAAACAGAAAATAAAAAAAAACCCAGATTGTTAAAATGTACAAAATTTATAGTTACGAAACGAAACAATTACCACTTTTATATAAGGATATATTTTTTTTTTTTTAAACCTGATTTCCCTGAGGCCTCTAAGAAAAACTCAGATCTGGGGGGAAACCCAGCATTGGCAGCCCTGATGGCACGGACTATAAAAAGAATAAGAAGAAGTCAACAATTGCAAATCTCTATCAGGGTGGATATAATAAAAAAAAAAAAAAAAAAAAAAAGTTTGGCTCCAAGTCAGCCTAAGATACCAGGGAATCTGCTGGGCAGCAAAGTGATCATACTACCCATCATGTGCTGACAGGCCTGTACAATATGTGGCTAGTGCCAAATGTCTGATGTGCCAGTAGTGTCAACAAATCCTTTTCTGACTAGTTCTATCATCATCATGAAGCAGTCGCTCTCATCACTGTCTCCTTGAAATCAACAGCTCCACTGCCTCCTGCACACTTTCCTACCCAATTAGTCACTAATATCATGTGCCCATCTTTATGCTGGTCAGCCCCTGCCTCTCCTTCCTGGCACTATGACTTCTGATATTATTTTCTCCAATCCGCCGTGGTGACTAAGTCCATCATAAATTTAATATTAGCATATTATTATGTCGGGGGGAAATACGTAACCCGTAATTATGCTTTGTGGTTTAAAATGCTACGAGATTTGAACAAGCTTGTGTCCAAACATGAATGTACATACAAATGGTCTCCTAAACAACCCAAGTTTTCACTTACCAACATCAGCAGTCTATATAATAATATTATTATTACAATGTCAACAAGTTTTGAGGTTATTTACAAATCAAAAACAATCTTTTCCCAGCATAACATGCATTTCAATCTTCTAAACAATGAACTTTAAAAAAAAAAAAGACAGATTAAAAAATGTTCTATCAAATATACAACAATCTTCTATTTATTTAAGTGATTAGCAAGGATTTTCATCACAGCACTTTGGACAGATCTATAGGCTGGGTCATTAATTGATTAGTGAGAATTTTCATCATGAACAATGTGGACAGATCTATCAACAATCTGGACAGATCTATCAACAATCTGGACAGATCTATCATCAATCTGGACAGATCTATCATCAATCTGGACAGGTCTATCAACAATCTGTCTATCAATAATCTGGACAGGTCTATCAACAATCTGGACAGATCTGACCTTCACTACAGCTGTTTTACATGTGTTGCATGACAGGGTTTAGTAGGCAAAGCAAAGGAGCCTTTTCTCACCTGCGGCAAACTGGGCATTTATAGACCTAGATTTTTTTAGAGAAGAATCAACAATCAATGACAAGGTTGTCACATGGCAAATTGTGCTTAGTGCTTTGAGACATGTCACTTAAAGTGCCAGAATACATTTCCTGACTGACTGCTTTTCCCCCTTTAGGCCGGTATCCAAAGGTCTGTCGCATCTGTTTCTCAAAGCTGACAGCCTGGATGCCAGCCAAACAGGGCAAATCATTGAACCTACTAGGACACCAACAATGGCATCACCAAGTACTGCCTCGGCAACCCCTGCCTGTCCTGTGTAAGTAATAGTCTACTACTCACCAAATACTCTGTGATCCTGTTACTATAACTTAACACACTGCAAAGCTGAGTGTGCGAGAACTGGTGAACACATCAGGTGTGCACCAAAAACTATGCATAACTCGTTCAAAACTGCAAATACTTAGTGAGAATCTCTTGCAAGTTGTCAGCCCTGACGAGGTCGTTTTTGGCAGTGCTCCGACGGAACATGATGGGGCAGTCAATGGACACACAAGTCTGGTCGCAGTCCTGGGTACCCTGGCAGGCAGCACACACCTGGATGTGACGACAGGTAAGCAATTATATGATTAAGTCCATCATTTGCAATGAATGCTAGCAAAACAGAAGAGAATAAAATGAGAGAAGAAGACAGCGACAAGATATTTATGTGAAATACCAGTTAGGTTATCCTTAGGGAACTCCAGACACATCCATAGATGCTTAAATTCTCTCTCAACAACATCCTATGCTGATTGATGAGACTTAATATGTCTAGTGTGCCTCTTAAGCTGTGTCGATGTTGACTGCAAAATCTCTTTCTTAGCAGTGATGTGGATGCATTGCCTCCGAAGACCCCCCCCCCCCCCCCCTCCCAAATTAATAAGCAGAGCCAGCTGTATCTATCAGCCCTTCTATACCCTCATGCCACAGCACAAAGATTAAAGTGACTGATGAACAAAAGACCTGTGCATGGACACCATCCAACTTCTTTGAATGCAGCTTGCCTTGACGCATCAGATCATGCTCATGGAAATAGAGTTAACTACACAAGGTCAGTGACTTCAAAGACATAATCCTCAAGCAAGGTGAATAGGATAAACTATCAAACAGCACCAGTACCTAAACACCAATTCTGAAACATCCAATGGTTACTACCAACATCAGAAAATGCTTTTTTCTTGAAGCCTATACTAGGCTACCAGTGTCGGACATGGACAGCCTTCCAAAAACAGACATAAAATCACAGCATGTGAGATGGCTATGAACTGCTGCTAGTAAGACTAAGAGAAACAGTACTTAAAATAAAATAGTGGGAGAAAATATGGCAAACATCCCATGCAAAAAAAGCTTTTAAGTATTTTAAAATAATATTTTTAAAAAGAAAAGCTGGTCTGGATATTTTATCAAAGAAAATACCTACTTGCAGCACAAGCACACAATTATGACAAGATGGGGATAAAGCAAGATGGTTGGATACGTGAGACTAGTTACATAATAATATGGGAATAGTAACAGAGAATTGACTACATGGCATCAGTGGCGGAGGAATGAGAACAGGGGATTAGTGAGAGAGAAACAATAACACAGGGATAGTGAGACATAAACAAGAACCCAGGGATAGTGAGACAGAAACAAGAACACAGGGATAGTGAGAGAGAAACAATAACACAGGGATAGTGAGACAGAAACAAGAACACAGGGATAGTGAGACAGAAACAAGAACACCAGGATAGTGAGACAGAAACAAGAACACAGGGATAGTGAGACAGAAACAAGAACACAGGGATAATGAGACAGAAACAAGAACACAGGGATAGTGAGACAGAAACAAGAACATGGGGATAGTTAGACAGAAACAAGAACATGGGGATAGTAAGTGAGAAACAATAACACTGCGACAGACAGAGAAATGAGAACAGGGTGACAGAGACATGAGAACATAGGAATAGTGACAGAGACTTGAGAACAGGGTGACAGAGACATGAGAACATAGGAATAGTGACAGAGACATGAGAACAGGGGGACAGAGACATGAGAACATAGGGATAGTGACAGAGACATGAGAACAGGGGGACAGAGACATGAGAACATAGGGATAGTGACAGAGACATGAGAACATGGGAATAGTGACAGAGACATGAGAACATGGGAATAGTGACAGAGACATGAGAACATGGGGATAGTGACAGAGACATGAGAACATGGGGATAGTGACAGAGACATGAGAACATAGGGATAGTGACAGAGACATGAGAACATAAGGATAGTGACAGAGACATGAGAACAGGGGGACAGAGACATGAGAACAGGGTGACAGAGACATGAGAACATAGGGATAGTGATAGAAACATGAGAACAGGCGTACAGTGACATGAGAACATAGGGATAGTGACAGAGACATGAGAACAGGGGGAAGAGACATGAGAACATAGGGATAGTGACAGAGACATGAGAACAGGGTGACAGAGACATGAGAACATAGGGATAGTGACAGAGACATGAGAACAGGGTGACAGAGACATGAGAACATAGGAATAGTGACAGAGACATGAGAACATAGGGATAGTGACAGAGACATGAGAACAGGGTGACAGAGACATGAGAACATAGGGATAGTGACAGAGACATGAGAACAGGGTGACAGAGACATGAGAACATTGGAATAGTGACAGAGACATAAGAACAGGGTGACAGAGACATGAGAACATAGGAATAGTGACAGAGACATAAGAACAGGGTGACAGAGACATGAGAACATAGGGATAGTGACAGAGACATGAGAACAGGGTGACAGAGACATGAGAACATAGGAATAGTGACAGAGACATAAGAACAGGGTGACAGAGACATGAGAACATAGGGATAGTGACAGCGACATGAGAACAGGGTGACAGAGACATGCGAACAGGGTGACAGAGACATGAGAACATAGGAATAGTGACAGAGACATGAGAACAGGGTGACTGAGACATGAGAACATATGAATAGTGACAGAGACATGAGAACAGGGTAACAGAGACAAGAGAACATGGGAATAGTGACAGAGACATAAGAACAGGGTGACAGAGACAAGAGAACATAGGAATAGTGACAGAGACATGAGAACAGGTTGACAGAGACATGAGAACATAGGAATAGTGACAGAGAAATGAGAACATTGGAATAGTGACAGAGACATGAGAACAGGGTGACAGAGACAAGAGAACAGGGTGACAGACATGAGAACATAGGAATAGTGACAAAGACATGAGAACAGGGTGACAGAGACATGAGAACATAGGAATAGTGACAGAGACATGAGAACATAGTAATAGTGACAGAGACATGAGAACATGGGAATAGTGACAGAGACATGAGAACAGAGTGACAGAGACAAAAGAACAGGGTGACAGAGACATGAGAACATAGGAATAGTGACAGAGACATGAGAACAGGGTGACAGAGACATGAGAACATAAGGAATAGTGACAGAGACATGAGAACAGGGTGACAGAGACATGAGAACATAGGAATAGTGACAGAGACATGAGAACAGGGTGACAGAGACATGAGAACATAGGGATAGTGACAGAAACGAGAACATAGGAATAGTGACAGAGACATGAGAACATAGGGATAGTGACAGAGACATGAGAACAGGGTGACAGAGACATGAGAACATAGGAATAGTGACAGAGGCATGAGAACAGGGTGACAGAGACATGCAAACAGGGTGACAGAGATATGAGAACATAGGAACAGTGACAGAGACATGAGAACAGGGTGAAAGAGACATGATAACATAGGAATAGTGACAGAGACATGAGAACAGGGTGACAGAGACATGAGAACAGGGCGACAGAGACATGAGAACAGGGTGACAAAGACATGAGAACATAGGGATAGTGACAGAGACATGAGAACAGGGGGATAGCGACAGAGACATGAGAACATGTGGATAGTGACAGAGACATGAGAACAGGGTGACAGGGACATGAGAACAGGGTGACAGAGACATGAGAACATAGGGATAGTGACAGAGACATGAGAACAGGGGGAAGAGACATGAGAACATAGGGATAGTGACAGAGACATGAGAACAGGGTGACAGAGACATGAGAACATAGGGATAGTGACAGAGACATGAGAACAGGGGGAAGAGACATGAGAACATAGGGATAGTGACAGAGACATGAGAACATAGGAATAGTGACAGAGACATGAGAACAGGGGGAAGAGACATGAGAACATGGGGATAGTGACAGAGACATGAGAACATGGGGATAGTGACAGAGACATGAGAACATGGGGATAGTGACAAAGACATGAGAACAGGGTGATAGTGACAGAGACATGAGAACATGGGGATAGTTACAGAGACATGAGAACAGGGGGAAGAGACATGAGAACATGGGGATAGTGACAGAGACATGAGAACAGGGGGAAGAGACATGAGAACGTGGGGATAGTGACAGAGACATGAGAACAGGGGGAAGAGACATGAGAACATGGGGATAGTGACAGAGACATGAGAACATGGGGATAGACACAGAGACATGAGAACATGGGGATAGTGACAGAGACATGAGAACATAGGAATAGTGACAGAGACATGAGAACATGGGGATAGTGACAGAGACACGAGAACATAGGAATAGTGACAGAGACATGAGAACATGGGGATAGTGACAGGGACATGAGAACATAGGGATAGTGACAGAGACATGAGAACAGGGGGACAGAGACATGAGAACACAGGGATAGTGACAGGGACATGAGAACATGGGGATAGTGACAGGGACATGAGAACATAGGGATAGTGACAGGGACATGAGAACATAGGGATAGTGACAGGGACATGAGAACATGGGGATAGTGACAGGGACATGAGAACATGGGGATAGTGACAGAGACATGAGAACACGGGGATAGTGACAGAGACATGAGAACACGGGGATAGTGACAGAGACATGAGAACATGGGGATAGTGACAGAGACATGAGAACATGAGGATAGTGACAGGGACATGAGAACATAGGGATAGTGACAGAGACATGAGAACATGGGGATAGTGACAGAGACATGAGAACATAGGAATAGTGACAGAGACATGAGAACATAGGAATAGTGACAGAGACATGAGAACATAGGAATAGTGACAGAGACATGAGAACATAGGAATAGTGACAGAGACATGAGAACATAGGAATAGTGACAGAGACATGAGAACAGGGGGATAGTGACAGAGACATGAGAACAGGGGGATAGTGACAGAGACATGAGAACATGGGGATAGTGACAGAGACATGAGAACATGGGGATAGTGACAGAGACATGAGAACATGGGGATAGTGACAGACACATGAGAACACAGGGATAGTGACAGAGACATGAGAACATGGGGATAGTGACAGAGACATGAGAACACAGGGATAGTGACAGAGACATGAGAACATGGGGATAGTGACAGAGACATGAGAACATAGGAATAGTGACAGAGACATGAGAACATAGGAATAGTGACAGAGACATGAGAACATAGGAATAGTGACAGAGACATGAGAACATAGGAATAGTGACAGAGACATGAGAACATAGGAATAGTGACAGAGACATGAGAACATAGGAATAGTGACAGAGACATGAGAACATGGGGATAGTGACAGAGACATGAGAACATGGGGATAGTGACAGAGACATGAGAACATGGGGATAGTGACAGAGACATGAGAACATGGGGATAGTGACAGAGACATGAGAACATGGGGATAGTGACAGAGACATGAGAACATGGGGATAGTGACAGAGACATGAGAACATGGGGATAGTGACAGACACATGAGAACACAGGGATAGTGACAGAGACATGAGAACATGGGGATAGTGACAGAGACATGAGATCATGGCGATAGTGACACGAGAACAGGGTGACAGAGACATGAGAACAGGGGGATAGAGACATGACAACATCCTGCAAGGAGGTGGCTTTCTGGCTGATTTGATCATTAATTTATTTTGATAGATGTTTACAAACCTGTTGAGCTTCATCCAGGGACAATATATCAAATGGTTCTGATATGAGTCACGACTTATGCATCACAAACACCTTCTCACTCTAGACATAATGGAAGAAGAGCTAGTGGCTGCCCAAGCAACCGATTCGAAGATAGAATATCTGCAACATCTTTATATAACATGCTAAGACTCTCCCCAGCTGCCTTTTTAAAACCTCTCACTAAAAAGCATAACAGGCATTAGAGATAAGATCTATACTATTTGTTATTTTAAAAAATCTGAGTTCATCTGGGTAATGATACAGCATTAAGAACAAGCCTTCATTAGCTCATTTCACTAAGGGAACAAGACGTTTCATTAACCAACACAGAACAGGCGTCATCAGTCGTTTTACACATGTGGAGCTTTTGAGGAGATCGGAGCACCTATGGATCTGTCTGGAGTTTTGTGATGATAATCCTTTCTAATCACTAATCCCTATATTAGCTCCGTCTCCCTCAACAGACAGCGAAGATGGTACCCCTCGTCAACTGGTTACAACATGAGATGGTCATTTCTAGCAGCAGGTCTTACACCCTTACCTGAGTCAGTTTACAATATGTCTTCTCCCAGTCTTGAATCCTGGAAGTCAGCATGAACATCACCAACTGTGGGTCCTTGCAACACTGTTCACAAACCAGCAGTTTGGTCTGAGCATCACACACAGGGCAGTTGTTTGTAGCAAAGAACTGGGAGATTGTGCCCTGGGGAAAACATACGATTTATAATAAAACAGTCAGGTGTTGATTTTTCACAATCCCAAATATTGGAGTTGAAAATCAGCTACAGGAGATTTAGTGTCTCTCTTTCACAAGATAGGTAAACCGAAACTTCCAAGGAAAGATGAGCAATGCAGTAAGAGTAAGATGATTTAATAGCAGTGACAGAAATATCGGCTTCACTATGGTGACCAGGACTGTTAAAATGTGGAAACAGTTTTTGGAAGCTTATTTATAAATGTCCATAATTTGTTATTGGAATTAGTACCACCAGCTGTTTGTAACTGGAAACAGTAACTTTACACAACCAGTATGACCAACACAGATCACCTACCTGTTTGTTTGACACTGTAGGACCCATCACTGGCCCAACTCTCACCACCTTTGGCATGTCCAAGTACCTGTGAGAATCAAGAAGTACAAATACTAAAAAACTGAATGCTTATGTTCCCATCTGCACTACTTGAGAAAGCTGAGTGGCTAATAAATGGTGGCTGTTACAGCATGTCGGAAGGTGCAAACTAGGCACATTTTCTGTTAAGACACTCAGGCTTTCCGCAGCAGGGAAAGAATTCTTATTCCTGACTATTTCTACCTTTCATTCTTGATAATGTAAAAGAAACAGTTGGACAGCAAAACCCTTTAATCTGTTACCTTTTGATATACTGTATGACTGAAGATAGTGTAGCCACTATGCCATCATCTATGCTTCTGTGTCACTGAATTGTAGCAGCTTCTACCTCTGAGTCCATGCTCAAGCTGTATGTGGTGATCCCACCACTATGGCCAATCCAGAATGTAATAAACCATTTCAGCTGAAAATAGCTGATAATCAACTGCACTAATACTTGAAACGACCTTAAATGAAAGTTGCCAAAACTAGCCAAATGGCCACACACACACACACACAAAATGTACTGCCGAAAATTGCAGGACTTCAGGCAATCTCATTGCAGCGGTCAAAATTCAAGACTTCTCAAGGTCAGAATGTCTTTTTTAAGGTCAAAATTAAGCATTCTTGTCAGGGACTCTATTTCACTGGTAATTTAAGATTTCCCGGTCGGCTACGAACCCTGAATGTTTCACCATGTTTACACTATGGCCCCAATCCTCATAGTTTCCCCAAATAAACTCTATGGCCATATACCCCAATTCTGATAGTTTCACAACATAATGGTTATGTTCCCCAGTCATGACAGTTTCCCTAAAAAACCCTGGCCATACAACCCAATCTAAATTGTTTCACCATGTTCACATTATGGCCATATAAACCCAATCCTGATAGTCTCACCACATAATGGTCATGTACCCCAATCTTGATAGTTTTCCCCTAAAAACACTACCCATACAACCCAATCCTGATTGTTTCCTCAGAAAAACACTCTGGCCATGTGCCCCAATCCTGATTGTTTCTTCACATAAACACAATGACCAAACCTTATTTTCCCATATAGCACCGATTTGTCAGCGTACATAGTAGTATTGTATTCCCTGGTTTGATTCACTAAATGTATGCCTTGGTTTGAATTACACATAAATTCTACACTCCCTGTTCAGGCTATATTATAATCTAGTGTTCTGTACCTTGTATATTATAAATCATCTAGTCTACATTCTGGTGAAGTAATTTGTTCAGAAGTAGACTTCAATGCCATTTTTTTCTCTCTCTCTAACTCTCTCTCTCTCTCTCGCAAAAGTTTACTGTTCAGTTTGGGAGTTTGTAATTTAGTATATGACTAGGTGTTTGAGAGGGGTGGTAGTTTGTGCTTTGTGAGAAGCTCATTGTGGATGACCGGCCATTCTGCAAAAGAAAGATGGGATAAAAGATAGCGTAGTGAAGCTGATCCTCTCACGTCTATAAATGCTTGTAATCCTGCTTAACTTCTGCATCAAGGATCGTGAGGGGGAACAGTTGATTCTTCCGTGCTACCACTATTTAACACTGGCTATTATCAGTCCATGTGATTTTAAAATGTCTTTAATGTTGTCCTTCCATTTCCTTCTTGGTTGCCTGCCCGCTTGTCCTCATATCAGATTAAATGAGGTGTTCACACCTATGTAGGTAACTGGTGTTTCTATAACAAGAGGTCATGAGTGCAAGATGTTACAATCATCTGATCCTCTGTTTCAACATGCAACCTTTCAAGATATACTCTCTAAAGTGTACAAGTGTTCAACAGTAAACTGCCTCCCAGGATACTCACCCGCTGGCGGTCAATGAACTTTCATATCTTCTTCATCTTTGCATTTACTGGCTGTAAACTAACAGAAAGTCTTAGTCTTGTTTACAGACTTCTTGACTCGGGCCATATTCCGGGACTTTTTGTGTGAACACCTCTTTTACAGATCTGGCTTATTTGCGCGCAGACTGCCAGTTCCTCACCTCTCAGGCAGATGCACTCTGACTCCGAAGACAATGTTGTTCATGTCTATGTTAGCCTGGCCTCTGGCTGGGAACCTGTTTCAAGGACGGCTATGGAAAGGTGAAGATATTAACCAGTATGAGCCCTACTCACCCAAGCACTGCCATATGTCTCTACACCCTGCCTTTTGATATAATTGAATAAGAAACAATAGTCACTGACACTTACCATTTGAAGACATTCACTCCAATGAGAGAAAGTATTCTGTCCAAAGGTGGCAGTATCTGCTTTGTGATATAATAGGTTGCATTCAGTCGCAGGGATGTGTCCGCTACCAGCTCTGACGGTTCTTTCACCAGCTGTATCAGAGGCAGACCTGGGCTGCCGTGAACAATCACGTAAGGAACCCTCTCCCCAACACGGGGCTCGGACCTGCGATCCAGCCGTAGCCGCCTCCTGTCAGGTGAGAGTTTAGTAAGACATGAATCTACCATTATGTGTGAACAACTCATCATACATTACCCCATTCTGTATAGAATGCTTTTTATTTTTATTCTTCCCTTTATCGCTCAACCAGACATAATTGCCAGGCATAGTGAAGAAAAAGTGTATATCTCATATCCTCTATTTCATCTTTGTTTCCATTGCCGCCATATGTTTAGTCTTTTCCCTAGCCCATTCCCCCACCATAAAAATCTGACAGACGAAGCCCCTTCTAAGGTTTTATATTAATAGGACTATGCCTTGCCGAAAGTTTTGAAGGCAGTGAAGCAGTAGTTGTAGGCAATCATGATGGATGGGTACAAGGACTGGAAGTCTAGCACTGCTACTTGACTGAGGTACTCAGAGACAGTTGGCTGTCTTCAAGTTCAATCCACAACCTGCTCTCATGATCTGAAATTAATCAATCTTTCCTGATCAGTGTTCACCCTTGAAACTGTGGTTGGCACACTGTATTGTGGTTTACAACTAGGTTGTGATATTTGCGCTTTTGGGCTCAACACATCAGATTTCAGAAAACTCATTAGTTGCCTCCTACCACTCCTGTTAACCCTTTTGCCCCTGGTACACTAAAAAAAAAAAGGCCATGATACCATTAGAATTTTAGACACAAATCTGTAAAGACAATACAATTTTTTAACAAGGGTCACTAACATTCGTTAAAAATGCATCTAAATTTGTATTATTTCTCACAACATATATAAATTTAAAAAAAAAAAAACAGTAATCAACAAACATAAACAAGGTGAAGCCTTATATGGGAAATATCCTTCAGAGCCTTAAAGAAACAGGCATTTCGTGACATTGTGATCTCTCTATCATTGAAGTTTACAAGAAAAAAATTAACTATGCATCTCGTAAATCGGTCACTAAAGACGAGTTGGAAAGGTGATATTTATGGGGAACTGGATCCAACGAGAAATACCCCCTTTCTTTCATGAAGCCCCGAAGCAGAACCCACGTGGAGAAAGATATGAGAGTGTTCTAAGTCCGAAGCAGAACCCACATAGAGAAAGACATGAGTGTGTTCTAAGTCTGAAGCAGAACCCACATAGAGAAAGACATGAGTGTGTTCTAAGTCTGAAGCAGAACCCACATGGAGAAAGACATGAGAGTGTTCTAAGTCTGAAGCAGAACCCACATAGAGAAAGACATGAGTGTGTTCTAAGTCTGAAGCAGAACCCACATAGAGAAAGACATGAGTGTGTTCTAAGTCTGAAGCAGAACCCACATAGAGAAAGACATGAGTGTGTTCTAAGTCTGAAGCAGAACCCACATGGAGAAAGACATGAGAGTGTTCTAAGTCTGAATCAGAACCCACATGGAGAAAGACATGAGTGTGTTTTAAGTCTGAAGCAGAACCCACATGGAGAAAGACATGAGTGTGTTTTAAGTCTGAAGCAGAACCCACATAGAGAAAGACATGAGTGTGTTCTAAGTCTGAAGCAGAACCCACATGGAGAAAGACATGAGAGTGTTCTAAGTCTGACAGGAACCTCTAACCTTGCAATTTCCAGTGATGGGATGCATGCTCCAGGTTTGTACCCGGCCGAGCCTCTATACTCCTTGGCAAAGATGAGGTCAATGATGCTAACTTTGCCTTCCAGCAGTTTGTGCAGCTGGCGAGTCACATACTGTTTCACCCGGGACAGGTCATGGGTGGAGAAGAGCACCTTGATGGAGCGTTCTAAGATCTGAGAACAATGTTCATTATAAATATACTGAAAATGAGAATAGTCAAACGTTATGTATGCTGAGCTAAACAATTGCAGAAACTTGGATAATGTTCAAAATAAAACATTACAAATGGGAAATGTCAATATTATATGTATAAAACTCTTTTATATGATTTATTAACAAGGAAAATAATATTAAAATCGGACTGGGGCTCTAAAATATTAGAATGGGTAGCAAGTTTTCCCTATTTCAAATATGTAATAGCAAATAATGAATGAATTAAAACAGAAAACAGAGAACAGCTAAAATATATTTCCAACAATGGGCAAAAATCATTAACACCGTTTAAAAAAAATTAGAACTTGCAAATGTTGTGCTTACTCAGCTCCACTATAAGGTGCAGAAACCTGGACAATAAATGAGCAAATAGAAAGTCAGGAGGAGAAGGTCCTGGTGCTGTAGCAGATTTACAAAACAGTAGTATTTCATGAAAAAGAAGAAAAATAAAGATGGACTGGAAATGAAAAGAAGGCTGTCAACAGATATTTTTTCAAGACAAATGGGCTATCTTCCGAATAAAAGTCCCAAATTAGTGAGGCCGAAAATATACCCTAACAGGGCCTCAGTCACATGTAAATTGCGGACTTCCGGCAACTTAAATCGCACACTTCTGTCGGCTACCGCCGAGAGTATCTCCGACGCCGCTACGCGCACCGTGGATTGGGGCTAAACTAGATGGCTGGGACTCACGAGCAGCAGCTACCGCATCTCTTGCAGCTTCCTTCATTTTATTTGCTCATGAGTCCCATCCATCTAGTTTAACCCCACTCCACGCCGCGCGTAGCGGCGTGGGAGATACTCTCGGCGGTGGCAGAAGTCCGCAATTTACATGTGACTGAGGTCCTGTTAGGGTATATTTTTTGGCCTAAATAATTTGGGACCGTTATTCGGAAGATAGCCGACAAATGATATATTTAAGTCATATAAAAAAAAATATTTAAAAAAAAACACTGTTAAAACCCATATTGGAGGGGACAGCTGAGAAGCAAGCCAGAAGCAATCAGTGATAATGGAAGGATGACACCAACAGATAAATCCCAGGATCAGAGAGAGTATAGCAGAGATCCACTGAGCCAACCTTTAATGTAGAGATGGCACATGACGGTTCATTATAATGGTAAACTATGATCATTTACCCGTGACTACTCTTTCAAATCTCCCATTACAGTATTATTCACAAAGTACCATATCACTCATACAACACACCCACAGTCCCATAACAATCATGTCACACACAGTGACGAATTAGGGATTTTTTTTCTTTCAAAGTCATGAGTGTATCTGCCTAAGAGGCAAGGAACCAACAATCTGCATACAAATAAACCAGATCCGTGAAATGGATTTGCAGGCAAAACTCAAGTTCTGGAACAGGACCAATGTCCAATAGCCGATGACTGACCAGACCAAAACTTTCCACCAGAGTTTACAATCAGTGAAGGCTAAGAAGAAAGAAAGGCTCATACAATCAATAATTGGCCAGCCTACATGTTAAACAAAGCTGTGCTGGCAAAGTGGTTAAGTGTGGTCGCCAGCTATGACAGTGGCTGTTTAATACCCAGCCTTACTTAAATAAAAAAAAACTGGCTACTAAACAGTTTTAAAATGTTTTGGAAACTGAGAGGGTAAGGCACCGAAGAAGGAAACAACATTCTGGCCCACTCATAAAACACCAACAATAACTTGTTCATAACTAGTTGGTTTTTACGCTAAGATATTTGACCGGAGGAGGCTGTCAACCCCAAGCCTTGTAGCCTCTTATGACATGCCTGGTAGGTTGTTGTGCTAGTGTTCCTTGCTTTCCCACAGGTCAATTTTTACACTGTTATACTGACCTTGGAAACAGCACTGCAGGCATCCCGGCGAACTGTTTCAATTCCTTTAGCATCATATACAGGCTGGATCTGATCCTGGGTCTCATACATGAAACCCACGTAGCGTTTCTTTGTCTGCAGGACACAGGGCAGATAAATCTGGGGACATAATCATGCTGACGTAAGGACAGAGAAACTTTAATCTATGATGCCTCAACAACCGGCATCTCTTTGATGAAGTGCCTGTGTCATCATAATCATGCTGACCATGAGGACAGAAAAACTTTATGATGAAGTGGCTGTCGTCATAATCATGCTGACGTAAGGACAGAGAAACCTTAATCTATGATGCCTCAACAATGGGCAACTATGTGATGAAGTGGCTGTGTCATTCTTTAAAGGTTGTGAATTTGGTTTCAAGCTTGTTCATTCTGTACTATTTCTTTTTTTTGTGTGTGTGTGTGTGTTTACTGGCTGTAAACTCTGGAGAAAAAATACTAGTTATTCATCCACCGAAGAAAAAAATATTGAGCTATTTATACTGGTTTATTAAATAACTCTAGAGAGGCAAGGCTGAAATGATAACTTCTTAACCATCTATGCCTCAAAAACTAAAATTCATATAACAATCTGCATCTTTAGTGGGCCTGCACACAACATCTGTTGGGGTGAATGGCATTCTAGCTGGCCTTCTACCAAATACATAAGGCATTTAAAACTCAATGTTACACACAGACGATTAAACTTACCTTCTCAAACCTCAGCTTCATGGGTTTCGGGAACATGGCTGTCACAGCGTCAGCAATCTCCTGTCCTAGGACAAAGGCTTCATCCTTGCTACGTCCAGGAAAGTGAATGAACATGCTGTTGGTGACAAAAATGTACACAATAATTTTTTACGTGTTTCAACAATAAATAATGCTCAACAACAACAAAAAATAGGAATATAAGTGTTGTTCAATATTGTTTATTGTTGTGCATAAAAAACTTAATACTACACCCCCCCCCCCCCCCCCCCCCCCCCCCCCCCCCCCCCCCCCCCCCCCCCCAAACAGACAAGGAGGGCTGCCTAAAATGTCTGCCTTATCATGTGATGGAATATGGTATGCAGTTTTTCTCTTTTAGCAAAAAAAACTGTCAGCTATATTTTTGGTTTGTTTGTTTCTGCGTCGGGTTAATTGTGTGATAGTAAAATTGTAAAACAATTTTCCGTTTTGGTGGGCCAGGGATGTAAAATGGTTGAGACACACTGATCTAGGTGACAGGAAGTAAACTAGCCATTCAAACCCCTTATGATCTTCTCTGCATCAATCCTACTCTTCCTAAAAGAAGAGGTTCACTAATACCTACTGAATGCTAAAAACAATTATAATGATATTTTAAAACAGAAGTACACAATTACAGCAGATCTTTACAGCAAAGCGATAAAGCCTTTTGCCTTGTATTATGTTGACTGTGACTTGGTTATTCAGTTCACTAGTGCAGGTGTTTCAGAGATCCATTGTGGAGCCCCTGCTGGAGTTTATGCCTTCTGCAGTGCTCTCATGGGCAATCAGCCCTTCTGCAGACACCATGCAACATGGGACAACATCCAGGGCAATAAAGTTAATTCTCTCCCTCACACCGAACACAATTACAGGGCTAAACTATTGATCTCACCTGTCGGTATCTCCGTAGACTACCTGTGCTCCCCACTTGGGTGTGCTCCGAACCAGCTCAATTGCTCGCTCCAAACTCTCGCGGGCCTTTCTGACAATACTATCTGCTACTTCTATACAGGGCATGCGACCTGAGAAGTTAGCTCCAGTGTAGCCATAGGTCACATTGGCTATCAGTTTGAGTCCAAGCTGGCGAGCATCTAACATACGAGACAGGATCTGAGGAACAACGGGCTTGGTTAAAAGAAATATAAACACAGACACACACACACATAAACACTGTACTAATCTACCATCTGAGTACTAGCAAATGCTCGGACATATGGTCATTCTGAGTGAATAAATGTTGGAGCATGATCAAATGTCTAACTGAAACTGAACATTACAATTCTCAGTTAGGCTACAATCATGAAATGTAGACTCCAAATTGTTTAACTGTTTTCTCTGTTGGGTGTGTATATATGTGAGATGAGGAGGAAGACAAAAACTAAAGGGAGGGAGTTCAATAGAAGAAAGAGTTAGTAAAGAGGGAGTAAGAGATAGGGACAGATACCCCAATAGAGAGATACAGAGGGGAGGGGGTGGAAAGGGGGGGGGGGGGGGGGGGGGGGGGGGGCTTGTGTGTGTTTATTTTCTAAATCCATTTTTAAAAAAAACCAGATCAAAAAGCTTTTTTTTTTCAACAAGCAAACGTGGCAGTGTAACCTTTGATGTGATTTGCAATGATGAAAAATAGATTAATAAGGCACAGAATGGAGTACAGAAACCCAAGAGGAAAGATATGCGTAGCCACACAAATCAAACAACTAAATATCAAATAATCTCAGAAACAAGTGCCACAAAAAGACACAAATTTAAGATGGCATGCAAGTAAAATCACTTACTTTATCACCCTTATATGCTTTCATTGACTTCTTGACCATCAGCCTTGTGTTCAGGATTTCTTCCACCATACTGCAAACAAAAAGAGTTTCAAATACAAACATTTATACTACCGGACTTGTGGTCAAAAAGGAGGATAGATACGTTCTTTTTTTTTCTTTTTTTTAGCTATGGCAAATATTTTTTTCTTTAGACAGGCGATGGCTTGTATTTTCTCTATGTGTAGACTGAAAGGATAGTTCTGTCACCCAGCTACTGAGTTGAGTGCATGGCGCAAAACTGTGAGCTGTGAATTTCATTTGGAATGTTTTTCAACTGTTACCAATGTGGTGTTTGCAGACTGAAAGGATAAAGCTTTGTCACACAGCTACGAGTTGAGTGCATGGCGCGACAATGTGGGCTGTGAATTTCATTTGGAATGGTTTTTCAACTGTTACCAATGTGGTGTTTGTAGACTAAAAGGCACACAGCTACTGAGTTAAGTGACTAGCGCGACACTGTGAGCTGCAGATTTCATTTAGAATGTTATTTAACAGTGACCAACATGGTGGTGTGAACTGTAGATTCAAAAAATGGTGAGTGGCCTGTTGACGTAGAAGTGTGGTGTTTAGTGAATGTTAACTAATAACTTACATGGGCAGGATCCCTCTCCGGACCGATGACTTGAGAAAGGCCACACCATTTGGTGAAACAGTCACGTAGTCACGAATTTTCTGAGAATTGTTAAAAAGTATACTGTATGCTTCACATGCTTAAAATTACCAATATTTATTATCAAACGCAAGGCATATTTCACAACACTGAAAACGGCCTGTGGAGTCTGGGGACAAGGATTAGATCCGCTGCTAAAGAAGCCGGTGGGAAAAAGTGAACAATTAAGGGTCTGCTGAAATTGGTTGGGTTAGTAAAATGGTGCAGATATAGCAGCCCAGCTGTTAGCCGCAAAATAACATTCCAGGGGTGAAAACAAAGAAGCATGGAGAGGGGGGGGGGGGGTAAGAACGGGAAATGGCAATAGTAAATGATGTGAACAAAAAGAAAGGAATGAAACAATATAAATACAGACATAAACAGATAAATAATGACAAATCTGCTCAATCAGAGAAGTCACAAGCAACAGATTTCACAATTTACTGGCATATTTTTTCTCTATTAAAGCCAGATGCTGTACTTTTAACTGTTTTGATTCAGTGCCAAGAACAAAATTTAGCCTCAAGCAATAGAAAGCGTTACGAATAAGATGTACACATTAGTGTAACACTAGCACTGTTTTTTTTCCTCCCCTTCTATGCCACATACATAAAGAAACAGTAAGGTTACTAATAAAGAGTTCTACATACCTTGAGTACAGCAGGTGTCAGATTCAACGATGTACAGCCAAATTCAAATGCACCTTCGCTGTATTAAAAACAAAAACAAAAAACTATGCTGATCATTCATGCTGATAAAATGCAATATGAAAAACAATGGACAGTTACAAGATAGCCCTAAATAAAAAAAAAAGTTTCACACTTCACTACATTAGGTTATATCCTTCATTGCTGTCTTTTTCAGCGTGGCTTGTTTCTTGCCAAGAGTGTCACACAAAGCATACACTCTACAGCTACTGCATCTAACCCAAAGGATCTCTGAACACACGCACTCACAAACCATGTCTTTCTCATGTGGGTTCCTAGGTCCCATTGGGGGGGGGGGGGGGGGGGGGGAGGGGGTTGGATAGACACATTGTCATAAAAGCAGACTAATTAGGGATGCTTTCTTTAAAGTCAGAATGCATTTGCATACAAATAAGCCAGATCTGTAGCACATAATACTCAGTTTCCAGAACAAGATCAAAGTCCAGAAGTGGACAAACAATAAGAACTTTCCGCCAGTTTGCAGCTGGTAAATGCTAAGAAGAAGCAGAAAGAAGAAGGTGCTTGCCTGTTTACCATAACGTCTTGGTTTTTTTTTTTTTTTAAACTGACCTTGGCTATCAGTCTAAAGTGAGTACAGGGAACTAAAGGCAGCCAGTGTGATGTTCAACACATCAGCCACTGAGTGCCTTTAAAGGAGACAAATATCAACCACTTCATTCAGAAGAAGTGTAAAAGATGTCTAATTAGGATTTGCCAGAACTGAATGAGGTGGTGGAAAAGTACAGATATCGCAGCCTAGCTGTAAACACAGCACAGCATGTCAACCGCCCTGTTCAGGTTGAACAGACTAACAGATCCAGAGCATTAAGCCCGAAATATGTGTAAAGACATGAGAGCCCCACCACCAGGCAAAGCAAGTGGTGGTGATGATGATGAATCAATAAAACCTCATTCATACGTTATGTCTACCTGCATAAACATTTCAACGTGAAAATCAGCATAAAAATCATTCTGTATTTACCAACACTGCTTACAGAAAAATAAAACATGCATTCTGTCCTAGCCAAGATTGATAACAAGTTTCAAAAGAAAAAAAAAGTGTTGTGTCCATATAAACATTGATTATAATACATTGTGTAATTGTCTAAAAGTATTACAGTAAAAATAATTTGTATTATGCCCATGCTAAGACTGATTACAAGAAAAAGAACACGCATTCTGTCCCTGCCAAGATTATAAGAAAACAATGTATCAGTTATAT